ATAAAATTATGAGTTGTATTCCGGGTTTCGGCATTTTTGCGCACCGGTGTCGATTGTTTCTCGCGGATGTACTGCTGTATGCGTTGTTCCGCTAGGTGGTTCTGAATCGGGGGCTTCGGCTTGTTGGCTTTCTGCAGTGGAGTTTTCAGGGCGCGCTCGGATGGCATCCTTCCATGCTCAAGTAGGAAATTTCTCACCATATCTGGCTGTACGTGTACCAAGTCCAGGAGCAGGTTTAGGTTTGGCTCTGCTGGAGCATTTACGTCTTCTGCCTCTCCTTGCGCAACCGTTCCAAGCTCGGCAGCCGCTGTTGGGCAGTCTGCTGTGAGTGGAGCTGAACTGTTCAAGCAGGAGGCGGCTTCACTCTGTCTAGTGCTAGGAGGAGGGACGCGTCCTTCTTCCTTGTCCGCTTCCTCTCCAGCAGAAGACTGTCCAGATTTGGTATGTGTGCTTGCAGAATCCTCCTGAAGTTGCACCTCAGCTCCTCTTGACCTGGCACTCACGTCTCCGACGGCCGTGATAAGGACTGCTTGCAAAAGAGCCCCTCCTGGATCTTTGCTGCTCAGCTTTGTTACCTGCGCCGTTGTGCTTGGGGCGAGCGACGCAAGGGAAGCTGCTGCAGCAGCCATTCCTCTTGCGATTGCTCTCTCAGTGCTCTGAAGTGGCTGAGGTGGGGCGCTTGCCACAGCTGCTTCCAGTGCTGGCAAGTCAAGCCAAAAAGCGGGCCCTTTGTTTGCACGCTGAGGAGCTCTTACGGAGGCCATTCTAGGGGTCTTTGCTGCGTTCTTCTCACATGAAGACTTAGCGTTTGCTCGTTTTCGCTTAACTACATTCGGGGCATCACCCCCAGCGGCACTGTGGGATTTGCGTTTCCCTTTCAGGCCCAGTCGCTGGGTGGAAACATCAGTCAGAGAGGCGTCGGCCCCGTTAACTGAATGAGATGCTCCACCTACCCATTCTTCATAGCGAGTAGTACGTTTAATACGGCGCTTATTGCCAGGCCTTGTCTGGCTATCAACTTCTTCATCGATGGCTGAAATTGTCCCATTCACGACGTCCGAAGGCTTTCCCTGGACTTCGCTTGACAGTGTGCCTTGATCTTGTTTCCTGGGAGTTGCTCCTCGCGTCTTGCACTTTTGCGTTGACTCCGCACTTCTTCCAATAGACAGTGGGCTCATTTCTTGAGGCTTGCCTTTAGAAACTACTGGGTTGTTCTTGGCAGGAGCAGCTCCCTTTGAGAGCTTGACTGGGCGTACACACTTCGGTGTTTGCCTCTTTCTTGTAGCAACTTTAGATCCGGACTGTAGAGTTGAACTGTCGGGCTTCAGCGTCAAAAACCTTGTTTGCATTCTTGGTTTAGAGGATCTTCGGCTCTTCTTCGCAAGTAGGGTAGTGAGCACAGCCTCGAGTGCAACACTTTTTTGTTCTTCTTTTTCCACCTGAAACGCAAAATGATTCCGTAAATGAGTAACGAACGTAAAGAGAGGTGTAAGCTATGAAGGGAGAACACTTCTCAAACTGTGATGCCACAACAAGGCTTCCAAGGATGAACAAAAAAATTCAAAATAACGACAAGCGAGAAGAATGACACATGTTCTGAAGAGAAATTGTTTCGCGAAAGACTACGGGTGCAGAAGGTCACCTGGCGTTCAGTTGACACTGGAACTGAGCCTTCGGAGGAACATATAAGTGCGTCACTGAGTTCAGGGTCGCACTGTGTAGAAGCCATCGCGCCAATAAGTGGAGATGAATCAGTTGCTTCTTTGATTGCATCTATTTCCTTGTCGTTTTCCTTTTTGCAAGGCTCCCGATCAGGGATTGGATTTATTATGGCCTCAAGAGACACATTCGTAGCTGTGACGGAGTTGCCCGCCATAATACCGACCACTCAATCACCTCGTTACAACTTCAAAGAAAAATCTAACAAGCCGGATGACTTGTTTGCCGGAACACTCTCTTAAGAAGGGTTTAGACAGAACGGATCGTCGATTCGCACGCTAACCTCAGCGGTGCCAGTTCTTTCGAGGCTCTCTTGGTGCGGAATTCCGGCTGCAGCAGACCTGAATGGGTACTGCTGAAAGAGAAAGTAAGAATAAGAAGCATTTGGGGCCCCTGGAATTCGGCAATTATCTACGCGAAGGCACGGAGCAAACAACCACTGGACACCTGCTGGGCACGCGATTGCCCACGCAATGATCACGGGAAAAAGCGAGTCTCACGAACGCAAAACCCTTAAAACAAAGCTCACACAAGTCAAAAAGATGTGATAGTTCAATATGTATTGTTCAAGGTTCAGTTCAGAAGTATTAATGACGACTCTTCGAAGCGTAGAGCTGAGGCCTCCAGTTGCTGGTCCGCGGGGCAAGCTCTGACAGCTGTCGGCTTTGGTCACGTACCCGTTGGGAAACCCCCCGCGAAGTAAAGCACTATTATGCCCGAATTTTGCGTGGAATGAGCCTTTACTATATTGTAATATTACAATATAATAATAAAAGCTCCTCAGAATGAGGCTGCTCTCGCTGTTCATTTAACTTCTGTCAGCTTGGCCTTGAAAACGTGCCCCCAAGTGACACCGACGCCAGCCAAGCGGAACTGCTGCCCAACAGATTAAATTTTTCTTATTGGTCCAGTGGACTTGGCTTCTGCGCTACTAATTGTCTTGCGAGCATTTGAGGCACCTTTTATGCCCCTTGGAACGGCAAGAATGTTAGAATCGGATACTCGAGTTGCAAGGATGCAACACTGCCGGGAAACAGGCACCCTCACACCACCCTAACCTGCACTCCTGCCTAGAGACAGCCTCGTAACAGCCTCTGCCAGCAAATCTCGATAATCAAATAGAAGCAGCATGAACTCCCGGCAGAACCTTAGTTAGGACAGCTAGGCCGGAGCTGCCGAAGTGCCGCGAAGCTGCGTTCTGACCTGCCCTAACGCCGAACAGTTCGCTTTTTCGCCGAGATTAACCTTTCTTTAGAGCTGAATGAAAGCCCATGCACCCTTTTAACTGATACCTAATTGCTTTTCAGCTTTCCCTTTGATGTGTGCAAGCAGTTTATTTAGATGTCTCATAGCTTCCGAGCACAGGCGTGGAGAGCAGCAGCTACTCCACTCTTGCCTTCTCCAGGCCGGCTTCCCTAGGCTAATAAACCACAAAAGCATCTTTTTCCAGAACAATTTGGTGGCGAAGTATTGCCACAGTTGATTTGAAGGTCAATTGCGTGTTTCAGCGCCTCGAGTGAGCGTATCATGGGCAGAGGCTTCCTCAGTTCAAGTTGTCGCCAGCAGGGCCAGTGAAACGTGCAGTTTATCTTCATAAAAGCTTAATCTGAATCTGCTACACCTAAGACACAACGTGAACGCCCAGAAGAATTGAACACAGCTGACTCTTTTCGCATCGGACGGGCCAACGTGGGTCACATGCAGGGCCCTGTTCTTTCTCTCCAGCTTCATTCTGCTCTTTTGCATATGCTTACGCACTTCATACCTTCCTAATGCCTTCTTTAGAGCCAGATAGTGCACCCACATGATTGCCACAATTCTACAGCTTCTTGTATGTATGGAAACTCCCAGCAGATCGAGACCAGCAAAATGCAGAGTTCTTCATTTTCATCCTTGAGGACCTTTGACCACTCGCATCCCAATTCATGTTCCTACAGTGACTTTAAAATGGAACAGAGAATGTGAAAAAGCAAGAAACTCTCAATTTCAAGTGCAAGCCAACTGACGGCTGTGGCTCTCAGCAGGAGCAACAAAGTTCTCATCCCAAATGTCTTCCGACTGAAACCTGTAGCTCCTGCTGCGTCTATCTGTGGAATGATGGGCGTGCTGGAAAAAAATTATTTCCACTTCATTTTTGCCTGACTGCTGACTCCCAGAGATTTTGTGTTTCAATTGCATGCATATGAATTCCTTATTGTCTGGATCACATGCCACCAAAGCCAGCAAGAGCTGCGAATGCGAGATCCTGGGAGAATGCCTATAGTACCTAAAGTCCAAATTGTGGCACTAATTGCAAATGTACGTCTGCAGCTTCTCCTGCTGCGCTGCTCGTTTCTGCTTGTTTCAACGAAGCCCTGAGCCTGCAGCGGTTTCAAAAACTTGCAGAGCTGTTTGTCCCAGCAGATCTATTTGCACGATCTTTCTGCCCGGTCGGCAAAGCTGATTGTGCTGCAGTGCGAACGAATAAGTTTGGAAAGTTAGCCCGTCTGCAGAGAGCTAAAAGTCTATGCCACAGTGTTGCATTTCCGCCTCAAAGTTTCGCTCCGTTAGCATCTTCTTGGCCATAAATGGGTCTTTTACACGCCCCAAATGGCGTTGACTTTCAGGCCCTGCAGCTAAACGCCTCAGATCCACATGAGAGGAGAAGAAACTTGCTGCTGCAACAGCGCCGCCGTGGCTGTCCTCCAGCCACAGCCACTGGCTGCGTCGCAGACTTAGTACAAGCCGTTCGGACTTGTGCTTCAGGCGGTTGCAATGAGTTTATTTGGCTCTCGAACTTAGTTCGCCGCTGCACCTTCCTGAGCACTGCTGCAGCTGCGGCCAGCAGATGCAGCAGCGCAGCAGCACAGCAACGAGCTGCAGGCTCCTGCAGCTGCAGCCTGACTCGCTTGGGACTTGTGCAATTTTTCATCGCCGGAGATTTGCCGTTTCTTGCCAGACACGCGGCTGGTAAACTGCTTCTAAAAGAAAACTCCGCCAACAATTGGCACTGACTACCTGCTAAGTGGGCTGGGCTAGAAATGCATGTCAGATGAGCTCAGTGGGTGAGCGTTCTGGCTAGCAGCGGATTTCTTAGTGCCGACTAGTGGGGCTGCGCTGCTTGGCGGAGCTGCATGCATGCATGTATGCATACACGCGTGCATGCACGCATGCATGCAGCAATTGGGACAATCAATTGTTCAGCATTTCGCAACTTAGCTTTGAAGCTAAGGGGCGTGGGGAACGGAGCTGCATGCGCAGCAAAAGCGGCGTCGCCCGCTGCAGCAAACGAGGCAGAGGCGTCAGCAGCAAGCCCAGTCACTTCCGACTTTGGCACTCGTCGGCAGCTTCCGCTGCAGCAGCGGGCGAAGCCACTCGTAGGCGGCTGGGAGTTCGAACCACTTCTGCTGCGGGCTGCTGCTGCTGCCGCTGCTGCTGCCGCCGCTGCTGCTGCTGCCCGCTATCTCCAGCGCCCAGCGGCGCAGGGCCGCCTCCCCAGCGCTTTCCTCGCCGTGGGGGTTACTCAGGAACTTCTGCACGCGGCAAAGGGCGGCGTAGCGATCCAGGCAGTCAGTTTCGACCAGCAGCAGCCCCCAGGCGCGCTGCATGAGCGGCAGCAGCAGCTGCAGCGCGAGCTGCACGTCTTCTTCGTGCACTTCCAGCAGCAGCTCGTCGTGGATCTGCAGCACCACCTGGGCTCTCAGGGGCCTCCGCAGCACTTCCTGGGGGCCCCCCCAAAGCCCGCGGGGCCCTGCTGCTGCACCTGCTGCCAGTGCATGCGCGCTGCCTGGGCCCGCGAGGGCGCGCTGCTGCTGCTGCTGCAGCAGCTGCTCCACCCTGGCGGTGACGAACTTCATGATGTCTGCGGCGAGGCCCTGGATGGGGCTGTTCATGGCCTGCCTCCTGCAGCGGCTCTTTGCAGCCCCACTGCTGCTGCTGCTGCTGCTGCTGCTGGGGGAGCTGGCTGGGCGTTTTGCTGCGCCCACGCGCTGCAGCAGCGCCGCAAGCTGCGGGCAAAGACGCAGCTGCTCCGCCAGCACGTCGGCCCCCTGCAGCAACCTGCTGCGGCCAACTAAAGTTTCAATTGTTCCGGTGTTTTCGGCGAACTGGGTGTGTGTGCGCATCAGTGTCTGTACACCCCGGTACGCACTGAAGAAGCAGCTTATTAGCTGCCGCGCGTCTTTTAGCGGCAGCTGCAGCTGGCGAGAGAGTCCTTTTTCTGTTTGTCCGTACAGAATGCCTGCGCGCAAAAAGCTGCCACTTGCATGCGCCAACTTTTGCTTTTCTTCTCACCACCTCGCATATCACTGACACAACCACACTTCGAAACAGCAAAGAAACTCGCTGCTGCTGCCATGCAGCAGCAGCACAGCGCCTCGCACGGGACCCGCAGCAGCAACGCAGCAGCAGCCTTAGCAGCCTTAGCAGCCTTAGCAGCAGCAACAGCAGCAGCACGACGCGGCTGAAAAGGGAACAACGGCGAGAGAACTTACAGAGAAGCCTGCTGCTGCTGCTGCTGCTTCTGCTGCTGCTGCTGGTTGGTGCAGCTAGAGCTCACCGTAAGTGACTGTCTTGGCCGCGCTGCGGCGCTCCCTAGTAACTTCCCCAGGGGCGCAGCCAAACAGCCGCGAGGCCGTCAGCTGGAAGCAGTCCAGCTGCTGCCCCCCAGGGGTGCCCCCAGGGGGGCCCCCGGGGGGGCCCCCAGAAGGGCCCCCGGGGCCCCCCGCCTTCCCCCCTCGCAGGTCCGCCAGAAGCTGCGGGTCGTTTGAAAGGAATGCCAAAATGTGCAGCTCCATTTGCGAATAGTCCACTGACAAGAAGCGCCAAGGAGAGCCGCGAACTGCTGCTGCAGCTGCTGCTGCTGCAGCTGCCGGTGCTGGCAGCGGTGCTGCTGCTTGTTCTGCTGCTTCTGCTGCTGGCAGAGCTTCTGCTGCAGAGGGAGCTGCAGCAGCTGCTGCGCTGCTGAAGGAAGCACTCAGCGCATCTCCGCAGCCGCCCGCCCAGTCAGTCTTGCAGGGGCTCACTGGGGCTGGCACAAAGGCCCTTCTGCAGCAAAAGTTTGCCAAATAAACAATTTTTAAGACTAAATTAAAAAATAAGAAAAGATTTACACAAAAAATATTAAAATAAACGAAAAATGCAACTCGAATGACCCGCGCAGCAGCGACAGACACAAAAAAAGACCCTCCGCCCCTGCCCCAAACTCTGCTGCAGCTTTAGTTGCTGCTGCAGCTTCAAATGCTGCAGTTTTAGCTGCTGCTGCAGCTTTTTGTGCTGAAGATTTTAAGTGCTGCAGCTATGTGTGCTGCAGCTTTGTATACTCAGCTCCCTCTCCCAAAGAACAAACCCTGCCTGTGTCTGCCTAGGCTGCTGCAGCAACTAATGGCTGCTGCAGCAGCTGATGGTTGCTGCAGCAGCTAATATCTGCTGCAGCAGCTACTGGTTGCTGCAGCAATTAGTGGCTGCTGCAGCAGCAACCCTCACTGAGACTCACCGGATCCACCGCCACTCCTCCTGGTGGTTTGGAATATTTTGCAGGTTGGGATTTCTGCATGCAAGACGGCCCGTGGCAGCTCCTGCAGCGCCCCGGAACACACAAAGCTGCAGCAAAACGGGCTGCAGCAAAGCGTGCTGCAGCGAAAAGTTCTGCAGCAAAACATGCTGCAGCTGCTGCAGCAAAAGGCCGCCCGCGGCAAGTGAGGCGGTGCATGCAGCAGCGGGGGTGCGCAAGACGCAAGCCCCAGGCGGGCTGCGGAGCCCCCAGGCCGCAGGCTGCAGCAGCAGCAGCTGGCTGCAGCAGCAGCAGCTAGCTGCAGCAGCGCAGCAGCACCTGTCTGCAGCAGCGAGACGTGAATGCGGCGGGTGGGAGGGAAAATATAGGCAGGCAGCGACGCAAAGTAAGTGCTGAAGAACTTGTGGCTCGCCCTATATTCCAAAAGAGAAGAAAGCAATCTGCAGCAGCAAAAAATAAAGAAGCAAAACAATAAGACACTTTGCTGCAGCAGCCGGAGAGATTCGGCCCGCCTGCGTCCACGGACCTCAGCAGCAAGGCTGCAGCAGCAAAGGCTGCAGCAGCAAAGGCTGCGGCAGCAGAGGCTGCAGCAGCAAAAGGTGCAGCAGCAAAGGCCGCGGCAGCAAAGGATGCAGCAGCAAAGGCTGCAGCAGCAAAAGCTTCAGCAGCAAGAGACTGACTCTGCCACTTGGCGTTCGCGGGGGCCCATTTCTTGGGATCGCATTTGCCGCAGCAGCCCCTGCAGCGCGTCGGCCCCCGTGGAGCGGCTGCCGCTGCTGCTGCTCTTGCTGCTGCTGCTACTGCTGCTGCTGCTGCTGCGGGCGCTCAGCGCCTGGTCGCTGGGATCGCCCGCAAAGGCAGCAGCAACAGCAGCAGCAGGTGAGAGCTGGAGCTCGTCGTAGAGAATTGCTGCCAGCTGACTGCAGCAGAAAAGCCGCAGAAGAGAAGCAGCAATGTGGGCTGTGGGGCCCCCCGGGGCCCCCCGGGGACCCCAGCCGCAAAGAGACAAAAGGAGCAGCAGCAAAAGCAGCAGCAAAGAAGCTGCTGCTGCTGAGGCGCAGCGCAGCTCACCTGGGGGAGTTTATGTTGACGCTGCTGCGGCCAGTTAGCTGCTCAATGAGCCTCCAAATTCTTTTCTCGAGTTGCTGCTGCTGCTGCAGCGCGTCGGTAAAGTCTTCGGGGGAAGCAGCGGGCGCGTGCGCATGCACTGTGGGGCCCCAAGCAGAAGCAGCAGCAGCAGCAGCAGGTGGGGCCCCCGTGCTGCAGGCCCCTGCCCCGCGCTGCTGCCGCCAGCCACGGGCCAACAAAGATGTTGAAAGACAAAGTCCTCTTCTTTCAAGAGCAGCAAGAACTGGAATTAAAGGTCTTTCAATTTGGGCCCAGACTCCCCAGGCGAGGCTGAGGGCCCCGGCGTCCGCGGCGCCAGCAGCCAGCTCCTCCGCGGCCTGCTGCTGCTGCTGCTGCTGCTGCTGCTGCGGCTGCAGCTGCTGCTGAGTTGCTGCAGGGCCTCCTCCTCAGCCTCCTTGTCCTCTGTGCATGCGAGGCCCACTACGCTGAAGTCCTCTTTGCTGGCTGCTGCCTGCGGCACACCCACTGGCTGGAAGCAGAGCTGCAGCTGCGCTGCTGCTGGAGCCATTTTGCCCTCAGAACTGCTGCTGCTGCTGCTGCTGCTGCTGCCGTCCTGTGGAGCTGTTCCCCGCGCCTTCTTCTGCGGGGCTTTTGAGTAAATGCCCCACCCAAATTGCCCAAAGAGTCCCTGCTGCAGCTGCTGCTGCTCTGGAGGCAGCAGCGAGCGCCGAGCAGCAGCAAAGACACGCCAGGGTGGCTGAAGGGTCGATTGGCGGCGGGATGGCTCATCGGCTGCTGGCTGAGCAGCAGCAGCAGCAGCAGCACCAGCTAGAGGCGCAGCAGCAGCAGGAGAAGATGCGGCGGCTGCTCCCCGCTTGCGGCGCTGCGCGCGTGAAGCTCCGGAGTCAGCAGCACTTGCTGCTGCTGCTGCTGCAGCAGCTTTTGTCATGCGTTCTATTATTAAAGAGCTGTAAGGTGACTCCAAGAGATGCAGAAGAGACTCTCCGCTGTGGGAGTCGGCGCGGGCTGCAGTTCCCGCGTCGCGCTGCCCCCCTGCTGCTGCTGCTGCTGCTGCAGCGGGAGCGGCGTCGTCGTGGGCCTGCCGCTGCTGCTGCAGCAGCTGCTGCTGCAGGCGTGGCTGCAGCAGCTCGAAGAGCGCCGCGTGCTGCAGCAAATCGGAGCTGCGCAAATTGGCCCCCCGCAGCAGCCAAGCCAGCAGCGAAGTGCACAGCAGCTGCTGCTGCTGCGGCAGCGGCAGCCCCAAATTCAGCAGCAAGTGCAGCAGCTGCTTCGCGCCATGTGCTGCCCACAAGACCTGGGGCTGGGGTGTACAAACACCTGCAGCAGCAGCTCCCCAGACACCCCGCGATGCAGCAGCAAACTCCTCCAGCTGCCCCTCACGCAGCAGGCAGCAGCGCAGCAGCTCGCAAGCAGCAGGGTCCTGCTGCAGCTCCGGAACTGCAAAGTGAAAGTGCAGTATGTCTTCTTGCTGCTCCTGCTGCTGCTGCGGCTCCTGCTGCTGCTGCTGCTGCTGCTGCTGCTGGCAGGACAAGAGCTGCAGCAAGCCGGGGGGCAGGCGCAGGCTAAAAGTCAGGTGGAGAGGCAGCAAAGCGCAAGCTGGGGCGTGGGCCCCCGAAGGGCTGTTAGTTAGCCAGGCCACAGCCACTGGCAGCACGAGGGACCCACCGCGGTAGCTGCTGCTGCTGCTGCTGTTGCTGCTGCTGCGGTCTGCTGCGCTGCTGCAGCTGTTGGGCGTGTCTTTGCCTTCGTCAAGTAGCGAAAGACACATCCCAAGCGGGTCCACCGGGACCCGCTCGGGCAGCTGGCGGGGGCACTCTTCCGCTGCTGCTGCGGCTGCTGCTGCTGCTGCTGCAGGGCTGCTGCACTTGCCCGAGGGTCTCTTCCCGTGCTGCAGTACCGAAAGATAACGGAGACACAAACGCAGCGTGCTGCGGAAGGCTGCTGCTTGCTGCAGCGGCGTGGCAGCTGCAGAGATGCTTCTGCATTCGATGGGGGGCAGCAGCGGCAGCGCTGCTGCTGCAGCAGCCGAGGCTGCTGCTGCAGCACTTCCTGCTGCAGTACCTGCTGCAGTTCCTGCTGTAGCTTCATCAGAGGGATCCAGCTTCGCTGCAGTATCCGGGGCTGCTGCTGCTGCAACACCGCCAGCGCAAGGAATACCAGCAGCAGCAGCAGCATCTTGAGCAGCAGCAGCAGCAGCAGTTGCTGCGGCTGCACTGTCGCCATGGGCCGCAGCAGCCTTACGCCGCGCTGCTGGGCGCGCAGCAGCGCGGATTGCTGCAGCGCGCAGTGCTGGTGCTGCAGCAGCAGCAGCGGCTGCTGCTGCTGCTTCCACGCTGGCCGTTGCCTGCTGCTGCTGCCTCATGTGCTGCTGCACCGAAGCCACGTGCTGCTTCTCTTGCTCGAGCAGCAGCAGCATCTGGCTCTCCCAATCTTCCCCTGAGTGTGGGGCCCCACACTCAGAGACACTTGCTGCTGCTCCGGCTTCGGTGTTTCCGTCTGTGTCTCTTAGAGTCTCCGCAGAAGGCCCCTCAGGGAGCTGCTGCTGTCGAGTGCCCTCTGCAGCAAGAAAAGCGCTGCTGCCGCTGCTGCTGCTGCTGCTGCTGGAGGTTGCGGCGTTCGCGCTGCTACCGTTGACCCTGGGATTCCACGTGCTGCTGCCGGAGCTGCTGCAGGGGTAGCTGCTGAGTTTGTTGCTGTTGCTGCCGCTGCTGCCGTTGCTGCTGTCGCTGCTGCTGTTGGTGCCATCGCTGCTGCCATCGCCGCCATCGCTGCTGTTGCTGCTGCTGTTGCTGCCGTCGCTGCTCTTGCTGCTGCTGCTGCTGCTGCTGCTCGCTTCAGCCGCTAAAGCGTCTGAAGTCTCAGAAGGAGCCATGGAGACAGCCATACCGGCTGGTACAGCAGCAGCAGCTGCAGCAGGGGCTGCTCCTGCAGCAGGGGCTGTTGCTGCTGCCTGCTCGCCAAGCCGCAGCAAACGGCGGTGAGACAAAGTGTGGAAGCACCTCAAAAAGACCCCTGGTGTTCCTGCTGCTGCTGTGCACGATTTATCGTGCAGTTTTGAGAAGTGCAGGGGGGCCCCCTGGGCCCCCTGCAGCAGGGGGCCCCCCAGCCAGGCTGGCCACAGGGCCTTCATAGAGTTCCAGAGGGCCCACTGCACGTTTTGAGTGCTTTTTCCCAACTCAGAAACTTGTCGAGCTGCTGCCGCTGCTGCTGCTGTTGCTCCTGCTGCTGCTGCTGTTGCTCCTGCTGCTGCTGCTGCGGATGGCGGCGCAGGAGGTGCTTTACGGAGACCCTGCGTCGTTGCTACCTCTTGATCGGTCTTCGCACCCGCTGCAGCAGCAGCTGCTGCAGCAGCAGCTGCTGCTGTTGCCTTTGTTGCTGCTGCAGGTGAGGCACTGTGGGGAGGGTCAGAGCCCTTTGACAAAGCAGAGACAAGTGCAGCACCCTTGGCTGGCCGCAGCACAGCAGCGCCGCAGCCTGGGGCTGCTGCTGCTGTTGGTACTTTTGCCGCTGCTGCTGTTGTTGCTGCAGCTGTTGCTGCTGTTAGCGCGCTGCTCGCCGCAGTAGCCACAGACACATCGTTTAGCCCTGCTGCTGCACTTGCCTTCGCCGGAGTAGCCGCTGCTGCTGCTTCCTGCTTTGCTGCTGCTGCTCTTGGGGCATCCTTCCCAGCAGCAGCAGCAGCAGCAGCAGAAGCCTCAGCCCTCAGGAGGCCTTGTGAAGCAGCTGCTCGCTTGCTTCTGGATTTGCTTTTAGCTGGGCCAGAGTCGGCAGCACGCGTTTTCTCGGCTGCCCGGCGTTTCGTTGCTGCTGCTGTTGTTGCTGCTGCTGTTGCTGCTGCTGCTGCTGTTGCTGCTGCTACTGCTGCGGGCGGTCGTTCAACAACTTTCGCCGCATACTCTTGCGACACGCCAATTTCCTCCTTATCCGCTATCGTTGCTGCAGTAGTTGCTGCAGTTGTTACTGCAGTTGCTGCTGCAGTTGCTGCTGCAGTAGTTGCTGCTGTTGCTGCTGCAGCAGGAGGTTGAAGGGTATCCTTTGCTGCTGTTGGGGCTTTCTCTGTGTCCACTACTGCCTCTTCGTCTGCTTCTGCCCACTGTAGCAGAAACTACAGACACAAAAGCCGCAGCGCAGCAGCAGCACAGCAGCAGCATCTGCAACAAAAGCTGCCTCTGCTCTCCCTCCAGCCTTCAACTTGCTGCTGCTGCTGCTGCTGCTCCAATCTCCACATGCAGACTGCATCCCACTGCTGCAACCCCCGTCCCCGCACATCCCCGCAGCAGCAGCAGCATCAGCAGCAGCCCCAGCAGCAGCCCCAGCAGCAGCAGCATCCCCAGCAGCAGCAGCATCATCCCCAGCAGCAGCAGTATCATCCCCAGCACCCCCCGCAGCGGCAGCGCAGCAGCAGTAGCACCGCCAGCCGCAGCAGCAGCAGCGCAGCAGCAGCAGAGCTTACTTGCGCTGCGGGCTTGTGGACCCCGAATTGGGCGAAGCAGCTGGGGAGTGTGGGCTGCTGCTGCTGCTGCTGCTGCTGCGTCTGGGAAAGCTGGAAGGCCTGGAGGCTGCAGCAGCGAGCAGCAGCAACTTGAGCATCGAGAGCCACCAGCTGCCGATTTTGCTTCCACTGCGGCACAAAGGCCTTCACTGCTGCTGCTTGCCGCCGCCCCAACACCCCCGCCACGCTGCAGCCCCGAGACTCAAAGCCCTGAGCCAAACGCGCATGCAACAAGCCCCAGACGCATGCATGCATGCACGCATGCATGTATGCATGCATGCATGCGTGCGTGCGTGTATGCATGCATGCGTGCATGCAGACCCCAATGCATGCATGCATGCAGGCAGGCAGGCAGGCAGGCAGGCACGCAGCCCCATATGCATGCGTGCATGCAGGCTTCCATGCAGGCTTCCATGTATGCATGCAGGCACACATGCATGCATGCATGCGTGCGTGCATGCATGCATGCATGCATGCATGGAAAGGAGAAAAAGGAGAGAGAGACGGGAGAAAGAGACTGGGGAGAGAGTGGGGGAAAAGGGGCTTTCTGAGGTGTACAGACACCGGAAGCTGCGGCTAGTCAAAGGGCCCTTTTAGGGGAAGAATAAAAGACGGAAAAACAAGCAAAAAAGCAAAAATAAAAAATAAAGAAAAAAATGACAAAAATAAAAAACAAAGAAGTACTTTTAAACCCACTTCAAGACCCTCCACAGCCTGCAGCAACTTCCGCGCTGCTGCGGATCCGATCCCAGGACACCCCACGATCCCATCTGCTCGATCCCCAACTAATGCAAAGAAGTCCAGCAGCTGGTGCGGCTCCACCCCTGCAACAGCAGCAGCAGCAGCAGCGGCAGCAGCAGCAGCACAGGCAGCAGCAGCAGAGACAGCAGCCGTAGAAGCAGCAGGAGCACAGGGCGGTACAGGCAGAGGCAGCACACGCAGCAGTAGCAGCAGCAGCAGCGAGGCAGCAGCAGCGGCAGTTGGAGCGCATGCAGATGTGCTGCTGCTGCTAGATTTTTGTCTTTTATGCTTTTCCCTGCTGCACCGATAAAAGCAAATAAATTTTGATTAGACATTTAATTCATTTAATTTTATTTCAAAAAACAAAAAAATAAAAAGAAAAGCTGCTGCATGCAGAGGCCGCGGGCCCCCCAGGTGTCTATACACCTCAACAGAAAGATCGCGCAGCAGCCAAAAGGAAATAAAAACATTTTAATGAAATTTACAAATAAAATAAAATGAAATAAAAGGAGATAAAATAAATTAATTAGACAATAAAAGTAGGATTGGAAGTCTAAAAGTGCAAAAATTTAAATGCAGAAAAAGATACAGGAGCAAATCTGAAGGGAGCTATTTGCTGCTGCTATTGTTCTTGTTGAAATTATCGAAGTT